AGTACTAACGTATATTAAGTAAACACACCAGAAATGAGGCTTCCAAAAAAAGCTAATTCAACACTTGATGTATAATCCATATACACTTCATCACAATGAATGGCTTGTTGAATATTTTGCGATGGTATATAGAATTAAAATGTTATCGTTTACAATAGGATTTTAGACAATATTTACTTCAACATACAGTAATATCTATATATATTCGCGATTGTTTACATCAATGTAACTTCAGTCAATGAAAAACCATTATATGACTGAACACAATTAATAAGAAGTACTTATTAGGTTTGAATGGAGTATTCATAACATTCAAATGTGTTATTTGATCATTAAAAACACATTGTGATGACATAAGGTCGAAAAGTTGTCTAGCAAGAAAGTTGGATAACATATCGTTTTGTGAAAGCAATGATCCCAATGGTTAAGATAAACAGCGACATCTTTGACAATCTGCAGCAGAAACTAAGTAGAACAGGAAACATAATCTAGTTCCCTGGAATACCTGTCTATCCAGTGAGGAACCAGTGGATATAGTTGTTCTTTCGAAAACAATGAAAGATGTGGTTCGTAGATTAGGCGACAAACAAGTCTTATTGTCCATTTTATATACGAAACCACACTAGTAACCAGATGAAAGAATAAATTCAAATGGACAAGGTGAATTTAGGTAAGCTAATTTTATTTCCAGATGTTAGGATCGGAAAGCATCTAAAAAAAGGTATCCTGCGTGGCTCCCATAAACATTTCTGTTGCGGTTCCTACTATATTTGTAATCTGGAAGACATTAAATTGACCTCCTGAAGTAAAGCACTCAGAATATTACGCCCACATATGACGCCTGTAGGCATTATAAATTACATACATAACGATCCAACAGTTGAGTAACAGTGCTTCTGAGAAACGAGTTCGCTTTTTTTTTATATACAATCCAATCTTCACCACTCAAAGTTATCCTACATTCAAATATATGCTATTCGAAAGCTAAGATTTTTCTCACTGAGTTGTTAGTCAATACAATTTATCTACAAAACGAAAGCAACTTAAATATTCTAGTATTAATAGCCAAGTATTTTGGTAGTGAAGCTTTTTATTTAATGAGATGTGGTTTGTAATTGTTTGATGTAAACTGTGTGACTGTTTGGTAATTTAGTTGCCTATTGTTAAACCAATATTATTATTATTACTACTGCCATTCAGTACTCTACCAGTCTTTTCTGACACTATGCCTACTAGACAGATATGCAGAAACTTAAATCCGAATGTTAGACCTAGTTAAACAGAAACTAAGCTTATTCAATTAATAAACTCAATTCCAACATATTTAAAGTGAAAAAGAATATATTTACAAAACGTGGGATACATTCCAAAATTACGATGTGAATAGTCAAATCAGTGAAAATGCTTCTGGGGGTAAAAGTCCAGCTTCAAGGACTTTTTGATATGAATGTAATGCAGAATTGATATCAAACCCGCACTCAGTTAAGCACTGTAAAGAATAAGCTTTATTCATTCCCGTCGCAGAAGACAACTCTTCAACTAATCTTGAACAAACGGATTCGTCTGGTATACTACCTGCTTTGAGAGTTGATACTGGAGTAGATGTTTTCAGCGTCATAAAACTTGATACAACTTCTGTGATAACAAGTGAACATTCCTGGAAAATATGATTTGTATGGAAAAAAGATATATAAAAATCTTTGAGAATTAAGTTTTTAAATTGTTCTCTAATGTAATGCGATCAATAGAATTCGGCATAGGAGTAAAAGACAATCTACAGTCAGTCAGCTAGAACGTAGAACTTCGTACGTACGTACGTTAGTTTGAGTATTCATACAACGATAACACAGATGCGATTGTCGATTTAAATCCCATAGTGGTAGAGGTAGTGGAAGTATGAGCAGTAATCAGGAAGATTACGATTCAAAGATACTATTCAAGGCGTATAATCCAATGAAATAAATTCGAGAAGACAAAGATGAAGGTCATGAGGAATTCAGAAGATTAGAATTTCAGAGAACACAGTGAATGGATGGACCTGAGCCAATGCAAACAATTTCGAACCATGTTACTTAAGGTCTCTCACCATTGGTTACCGCCGTCTTGCGGACCCGAACCAGGTAATTTACACCTACCAAAATGGCTCAGTCCACTTGTCAGTGATTTTACGAATTTGTGTCACATTTGGGTCTGGCCAACCTTACCTTTCTCCCAGACCACTCCTTCATCACAAAACATCGTCCGTCGGTAGTTGGATACACGTAACACGTCCCAACCACCTCAACCGATGAAGTTTCATTACTTCATCTATTGACATGCTATTCTAACCTAGAACCCGTTTCCTAACAACCGCATTGCTTACTCGGGTGTCCCACGATACACGAGCAATGCTTCGAAGACATCTGTAATCGAGTACTAGTAACCTACGAATATCTTCCACTCCTACTGGCCATGTTTCGCATCCATGTAGAACGGAGCGAACTGCTGCACATTACACTCGACCTTTGGTTAGCTAACGGATATCTCGCCTACGCCGTAAATGTCGCAAGTTGGCAAAAGCCAATCGAGCTTTTTGTATCCGTGCTTAGATTTCGTCAGTTACTAGGCCACCAGCACTGATGAGACTCCCCAGATAAGTGAAGCGGTCAACACGCGCAACTGCTTCACTCCCTATCACTAGCTCAGGTACCGATCAAACCCAATCTTGAGGCAACATTTTGCATTTCGAGTGTGAGAACCGCATCCCGAACATGCTTGCATTGTTGCTTAGGGTGGTCAGAAGACTCTGCATTTTGTCAACGTCTCCACCAAGTAGGACTATGTCATCGGCATATTCTAAGTCGATAAGCGAGCCTCCTGCTAAAAGGTCTACTCCTGAAAATTCAGACGAGGATACGGTTACATCTAGCAGCATGTCAATGACAACACTAAACAAGAATGGGGAAAGTGGACATCCCTGACGGACACCACTTGAAGTAAAGAACTCCGATGAAAGTTTGCCATAAGCTCTCACTCGACCAGTAGTTTTAGAGTAGAGAGCTTGTATGAGGTTAATGTACTTCTGTGGTACACCTTTCAAACACTGCCACAGAACCTCACAATCAACAGAGTCAAATGCCGCTTTTAGGTCCAGGAAAACAACTATTGTAGGACGTCTAAATGTGTGTCTGTGTTCCAGGACCTGTCGTAGTGTGAAAATGTGGTCTATACAGCCAAGTGCAGGTCTGAAACCAGTCTGGTTTTCTCGAGTCTGCTCTTCACGAGCACTAGTAAGGCGTCTAAGTATAATCGAGGCTAACAATTTAGAAACTATATGTTAGACTTATTCCCCTGTGATTGTCATAAGAAGACTTTTGTCCTTTCTTATAAACTGGGACAATCAGGGATTGAGACCAGTCGGATGGGATTACGTCCAGTTCCCAGATTCTACCTAAGATCCCGGTCAATCTAGCTGCTAAAGCTGGACCACCATCCTTAAAAATCCCAGGGGTAAGCCTATTAGGACCTGCTGCTCTACCTCGCTTCAGATTTCCTATAGCTTTTTCGACTTCATAAAGATTCGGAGGACTTATGTCGGTTTCCCATTCAGGATGACTGAAGATAGGGGGCCGCGACACCATAAGATCGACTCAGGTGTGCTTTCTTTTCGCTGTCTACCTACTTGAGCAATAAATTCACGCACGGCCTTTTTATGAAAGGTTTTTTGAGCATTAGCTCCGCTCTTTTAAAGCCCTTAGTGAGCAGTCCTTAACGCCGGAGACGGAAATCCGTGAGGTAGGGTGAGGTGTGACACTTTTAACCCTTCCTTCATTGTGAGAAGGCAGCATCGCTGTAGATGCTGGTTGCCCGAGGGAAACACCTTACTGCTGTCACACCCCTCTGCAGTGAGAAGTACGACCACGCCATCAGACCTTTGGTAGATGCTTTAAGTCTCATTGCTCTCCAATCGACCTGCCTGGCATGGTAGAACCTTCAAGAACATATGTTCCCGTCAATATAGCTCGGTTGGGTCATCACGAAAGGTAAGCCCGACCACTACGTCAGGGTAGCAGCTACGGTCAGGTCGACCCAGTTTAGGCACCGGACATAAGATTTTGTCCCCTCATTTTGCAAAAACAGTCACCGCAAGAAGGCAGCGAGTTGGACTTCTATGGCAGTGGTTATATACACGTGGCCATATAAGGGCATTTGAGGAAGAGCGAATTCGTACCTCTTTGGCGTACAGCGCATTTGGGGGGTATGTATAAAAGCCACAAAGTCTAGTTCTTATTGCCTTGTCACTTTTTGCTGAACTCCAAAAAAGACGGGTGTAACTATCAATAATAGTCTTGTCTGAGTAAATATATCTCGGCCTCTATATCAAACTGCATTAAACAGTTTGACTCAAACAGCCAGATTTTACTGTTGCAAGCTAGACAAGAGTCAAATGCCTCTGAATGTCGTGCTTGCGAAAAAATACTAAGATCTAGATCAAACAAAAAAAACAAGCAATAAGTTTCATTTAGAGGTGGTAAGTATCGTCTTTAAGTACTGTTACAGTGATCGAACTGTTAGACTTTCACTACAAAAAGCGCATTAGGAGTAAAAATCTACTTTTACATTGCAGTATTTCTTAATATCTCTAAGAATAGAAATATATTTGTGAAGTTAAGAGCCAGTTTAATATGTACTCAAACGAAAAAGCAATGTATGACAGTAACTATTCACTTTTAGAAAATAGTTTAATCAAGAAAGTTACAGCCACATGTGAAACTTAATTAAAATTGAGGTACTGGTGTAGTTATACAGCTAGAGAACTAGGATTATATAACTCACCTGTATATATGAACTGGGTAATGGATTAATACACCAATCTTCCTGAACAATTTTACCACTTTGATGTAATATAAGCATCCGGTTAACCAAGCGGATGGCATAGCTACCATAAGGAGCGATGTCTAACAATTGATCTGAAATACCTTCCAAGTCACTAGGGCGAGTATCCTGTGGCAGCGGTTCTGCTGCAATACATGAGTATCGTGCACAAACTAAGGGTAACTAAAAAATCAGGCTTGGTGTATTCACCTACTTCCGACCAAATTACATCTAAATGTGAGTACTTGTCATTCCTCACATGCACAAGATTTGGCAAACGGCAAAGCAAACCCAGGACCTGATTTCCTCCACGACACTCTGTCCGCGCTATCGGTGGGGGTGGGATGTTAGAAATGAAGCGGTCGGGAGCGCTAGAAGCTGAACGAGCAACAGACACTAATCTTTGTATGTGTCCCATTTGGTATCCCTTTAATGATTTGAGAAGTTTCCTGTCCTGTTTGGGTAGGCTAGGACTTCTTAATTTTCGAGGCATGGACTCCTCTTTAACAGCGCACCAGGCCCACGAAGGAAGAGGGAACCCACCAGGCAAGCTGTTAACAGCAAAACGTTCATATACGCCCCAGAGAGGCCGGTACTTGGGTCTGTAACTTTTGTCAGAACATTTTTCCAATGAAGATTGACAGACATAAGGGGCGATCTGGAATGTAAGGTAAGCAGAAGGGTCGTAAAACTCCGATAGCTTTTTGCGGGACTGTTTGACGTCAAATACATCAATGTAGCTGAAACGCATAAAACGCAATGATGCACATTATGTAAGTAATGAAAAGAAATATTATAGCTAAGTTTTAAATATGAGTCATTCATTTGGACAATTCGGGTTTAGATCTAGTTGCAAACCAATAGGAATTAAGAGATACACAATGACAATTGCAGATCTTGCATAACACCCTACAACTACTAATTACAAATAACGCAGGCTATAAAAGTGGATTTAGATTTTGTTGGTTGGTTTCAATCAGTGACTAGGCATGACAAGGAAAGTTTGATGAAATCCTAAATGTGACGGCCTGAACATCCGTCTGGAGTATTTGACACGAATTTACAAGATGACATACCTGACAAGGAAATAATAGTTTACTTTACTGCCAAAAGCAGTTATGCAGACTTATTCTGCTTTTGAAGGGACTAAATAGGAGCGATATGCTTTTAAGACAGGAAATTAAAGATATGAACACTTTTTTTTACCGAGTCATTGAGTAAAGAAAGTAGTCCGGACTCTTCTACTACTAGGACATAAAAACTAGTATAAAAGTAGCATTTGATGGACTGGCAATATGCCAATTTTAAAAGGTGCTAAACAGATGGCTGATTAAAAAAATCATCTAAAGGGGTCGTTTGGCTGTAATACCGTCCAAAAGAGTTACGTGAACAAGGAAGGATCCCGTGCTTACAATTCAATTGTATTACCCTGACTCATTTTAGAGAATAAGTAGGGAGTAATGGCAAAGATAGATGAAGTTTCACTCAGGTATCCACTGAACTATGTTTTATTCAAGCAGAGGATCACATGTTTGTTCACTCAACTCATAACAGAGTTTGACTTGTTTTGATGTTAGTGTACAAGTAAAATTAACTAAGGTAAAAATCGCTTACCTGTTTACGAAGGCACTTAAGAAATTCAAAAGTTCAGGGTTGCTACAGAAGTGTGGGATAACATCAGGAAGAACCTTGGGAAGCTCTTGTGACTTGGTAGTTAAATATTCGTCACAGACATTAAGGAACTGAATTTGTTCAAGTTTCTTTATCGTCTTCTTGCGTTTGCGACGCTTAGTTTTTGAACTACCATGCGTCAATCGCAGTAAATTGACATCGGTTATGTCACAATCGTCCTCGTGATCGAAAAATAATTCATCTGAGGATCCTGAAGAATATGAGCGTTATGGCTACACTACCCTTTTTTCTGGACCCACGTCGCTTCTTCATGAATTAAGCGCTATACTCGAAACCAGCGATCAATACACAATATATTTCCAATATTTTCGTGTTAGAATATTGCACGATTTGATTTCACTTCGATCAAGAAGTAGTTCCAATTATAAATCCAAATTAAAATTAAGAGAATTGCACGAGATAAAAGAGCACAATAGAAGTCGACTAATGAAGTAAAGTACATGGAAAGATATGTAAGATCACCGTTTGGACAGAGGTTAATTGGAATTAAGGGCTTAATTGATAACGAATGTAGGCACATTGCTAGAAATTTTGTGGGCAGGACAAAAGCATTACAGAGTTTCAGTCGATGGTGGTGTAGTGGAACTACTTTGTGAAGAAAACATGATTACTGACATATAAATACTTATTATTGAACATTGTGGTGGACCAACCAATATATTATTTCAAAATATTAACAATAACTGTTTTATTGTACACATTTTGTTCATCTGTACTTGAAGTCATTATTCAAGCGCCAATCCCGCCAACCACGCCAACCCTGTGGACTTATTGATCGTTTCGTGCAAACGTTATTTTTGCTGGCTGGACACGTGATATTATGTCGATATCACGCAGCCTCCTATCAATAAATATCGATATCCTATATCCTGCCTTCTGTTTTGGAATACGTTTGGGCGTTTAAACTTCGCAACTCCAACATTGGTGAACCCGTTGTTTGCAACGCGCAATTAATTTTGGATATTTTCGCCACAACCCAACCAAACTCGGTGAGTTTGTCAATTTTCTATCCATTTGTCATAATATTTATTCTGTTGCTATAACTTTTCATAATTATATATATATATATAATAACCTAGCAACAGCGACTTAAACATAAGTAACAATGGATAGTTTCAAAAGCAACGATATCACGGCAGACTCACAGATCCAGGTCCTCAATTTTCGACCTGTTTCCTTTATTCCCCACGATCAAGAGGTCTGGTTCGCGACACTGGAAACTCTGTTTGAGATCCGTCGCATTACGAACCAGCGGCTTATTTTCGTCTATGCCCTGGAATCTTTACCTGGGGATCATATAACTGCTGTCCGTGAGGTCGTCCTCAATCCTAATGCTCCAGATGCCTATAATCGTCTCAAGGAGGCGATTCTCCGGCATTTCCTCCCATCGAAGGAGGAACGTTTGAGGACGATTTTAGCACGTCACCCTATGGGTGATGCTAAACCTAGCCACCACCTCATTAGCAGGACCGACAGCATCCAACTCGGATATAGTAAAGAAACTGTGGCTAGATTCATTACCAGCTCACGTCCAGCCCACGATCGCTGCCCTGCCCGAGGATATGCCGCTTAGCCAAGTTGCACTCGTAGCAGACAGAGTTGTTGCACGAACCGGCCATTGAGACAACTATACTGTTGCGTCCACGTCACATACCGGCGTGGGCCTCGAGGCCAATCAGGTTAAGGCTCAAAAGGATAAGGGTTGCTGTGTCCACAGCCGTCTCAGTTTTCGAGATCGTTCTAATGTACCTGAACCCTACGTCCGGCGAGCTCGATCGTGATTGCGTAAGGCTGCAAGTACTCGCCCCCAGCGGGCATCTTCCAAGCCACGCCAACGGGCGGCATCGGAAGCGAGTACTGGTTGGTGCTGGTTCCACCGGACGTTTAGGTCCGGCGCCCGTCATTGTCGAGCTCCCTGCTAATTCAAGGTGGGAAACTCCCAAGCCGGCAAGTAAAAGCGGCCCTACTCGCTGGCCACTCACCTGAGGTTGGCCGCTTATTTTACGTGCACGATATCCGCACGAACGCTAGGTACCTTGTTGATACAGGTGCCCAAGTTTCTGTCATACCATTAGGTAGCAGCAAGTCACAACCTACAATAATTCGATTACGCGCTGCGAATGGCTCTGTCATTCCTACCTATGGTACACGACAGCTAACGGTCAACCTGAGCAACCGGCGACAGTATCTATGGACGTTCATCATTGCCGATGTTCCCACAGCTAAACTCGGTATCGATTTCGTACAGCACTACGAATTGCTAGTTGATTCATGTAGGCTGCAGCTAATCGATACTTCGTCGAACAGTACATTTATGGGCTTTCGAGCTCATACAAATGCGTACCAGATAACAGGTTTATTTCATTCACGTGATGACATTTTCCACGCTTTACTCGAAAAATTCCCCCAATTAACTAAATCACTCGAGGAGACTCCATCGGTGACCCGACATGTGGTTCACTACATCGTCACCCGCGGACCGCCAGTCACGGCAAAGCCTCGCCGACTGGCACTGGACAAATTAGCTTCCGCTGAACGTGAGTTCGACAATTTACTAGCTACTGGTATTATTCGTCCTTCTCACAGACCATGGGCCTCACCACTCCACATGGTTCGAAAAAAGGATGGGATAAGTTGGCGACCATGTGGCGACTACCGAGCACTAAATGTAGTCACACGTTTCGATAGTTACCCCATCCCCCACATACACGACATCACAGCATCACTCAAGGGCACGACTATTTATTCTAAGATCGATCTGGTACGGGCATACCATCAGATTCCAGTCGCCCCTGAGGATATTGAGAAAACTGCTGTCACGACTCCTTTCGGTCTGTTTGAGTTCCTACGAATACCATTTGGATTAAGGAATGCTGCTCAAACTTTTCAGAGGTTTATCGATAGCATAGTACGAAACTTTGATTTTGTTCACATCTATATTGATGACTTGTTAATCGCATCATCAAACTTAGATGAACACTATCAACATCTTAAACTCTTATTCCAACGTCTCTCGGATAATGGAATAATAATCAACCCAGAGAAGTGCGAACTCGGCAAAGCAGAAATAAAATTCCTGGGTCATGTTATTAAGCATGAGGGTATTTTACCTTGCGAAGATAAAGTACGTACGATCATGGAGTACACTGTACCGTCTTCACTCAAAGAACTGAATGCTTTTCTCGGTTTGGTCAACTTCTACCGACGTTTCACCCCTCACGCTGCGGAACAGTTACGACCATTAACCGATCTACTTCGCGGTAGTCCACGTAAACTAGAATTGAACGATCACGCGCGTACTACATTTTCCGAGATTAAAACAGCTTTTGCTCAAGCTACGCTCCTCGCCCAACCCGACCCATCAGCGGTTGATGCATCCGATTTTGCTATATGGGCCGTCATGCAACAAAACATCTCTGGAAGTTGGCAATCTCGAATTTTTCTCACGACGCCTTACTACCACGGAGGCGAGATATAGCGCTTTTGGTCGCGAACTACCTACTGTGCCATCAAACATTTTCGGCACGCAGTAGAAGGTCGTAACTTTATCCTTTTTACCGACCATAAGCCTCTAACTTATGAAGTCTGACCGCTACTCACCACGAGAATGCAGACATTTGGACTGAATCTCTCAGTTCACGACGGACCTTCTTCATATTAAAGGCGAGTCGAACTATGTTGCCGATGCTTTGTCACATGTTCAAGTGAATGCAGTTACTTTACCAGTGCTCAATCTTCCTGCTATGGCTGCCGTCCAAGCAAATGATCCCTCTTGTTCAGAAGCACAACAAAATACATCCCTTCAGTGTCAGGAAGTGCCCATAGCTACTACCTCAGGCACTATCCGATGTGATACTTCTAACGGTTTACCCCGACCCATCGTAACCTCTGCTTATCGTCGTCTCGTCTTCGATGCCCTTCATGGTTTGTCTCATCCAGGTATCGCAGCTACATTACGTCTCATCGCTGCACGATACGTCTGGCCTTCCATGATTAAAGATGTCCGTAAGTGGGTAAAGCAATGCTTACAATGTCAATGATCAAAAGTGCACAGGCACGTAGCCGCCCCCATTGGCACATTTGCTACGCCTGATGCTCGCTTCGATCACGTTCCTAGTGACATTGTAGGACCATTACCACCATCGCATGGGTATGATCACATACTAACGTGCATTGATCGTTTTACAAGATGGCCCGAAGCTATTCTTATCACTTCTATTACGGCGGAAACAGTTGCTCACCGCTTTGTAGAAGGATGGATAGCTCTGTACGGTTGTCCCCCGACTGTCACAACTGACCGAGGATAACAATTCGAGTCCGAAATATTCTCCTCGCTAACTCGGCTGCTTGGTACGGAGAGCATACGCACTACCGCCTACCATCCAGCTTCAAATGGTTTAGTCGAAAGGTTTCATCGCCAACTCAAAAACACTCTTAAAGCGCACGAAAACAACAATTGGTACGAAACCTTACCGCTCGTCTTTCTAGGCATCAGAACGAGTTTAAAGGCAGATATTCAATGTTCCGCCGCTGAATTGGTATACCACACGACATTGCATTTGCCTGGGGGACTTTTCACACCACGGAGCAGTGATAACTTCAATAAATCAGACTACGTCCAACTATTGTCTGCATTTATGCGAGCACTGCCTCCGGTGTCAACTCGAGTACAACATCGACAGGTCGCTCTTCCCCGAGAGTTATCTACCTGCTCGCATGTTTTCATTCGAGTCGATTCGGTACGCAAACCTCTGCAACAACCTTACAAAGGACATTTTCACGTGATTTCTCGTCACGAAAAGACCTTCAAGGTTGCTCGACATGGCCGCGTCGAGATAGTCAGCATTAATCGTCTCAAGCCAGCACACGTCGATGACAGTGCCCTACTTGCTAATCCGAGACCCAATGCAAGACCTAGCGGGATCCTGCAAACTACCCCGGATCCCACACTAGCGAAATCAGAGACCTCATTCTCACGTCCCAGTCAGCAGCACGCGCCATCTGCACTATCTACGAATGAGACATCAGTCTGACGTCCAGATCAGCAGACCACGCCGCACTTGACTGCGGACGAGAATGCAGGCTCATATGGTACGCACGAGGCTACTGTCTCGCGTTCCGGTCGCCGCGTACGCCAACCTGTACCTTTTCTCGAGTAACTACTAATCCTCCACAGGTGCAGCATAGGATTTTCCCATCATACTACATGCATGCTACACTTTTCCTCCTTTCCTTTGATTTTTCTTATCCCGAGCCTATACCTCCGACCATTG